TGTACTTCTTTTTAAGAATTCAGCTCCTGCATGTATTCATAGTGTTCCATGGAGAATAACTTGACCTTGGCAGCTTGACTGAGTTTACCACCCCACTCCTCAGTGATTTTCACTTTAAGATATCACACTTTCCTGGCTTTTTCCCGTCCTCAATTGGCTCTGCTCCATCTTCCTCTGTTCTACTATAAGCCCTGGAGTGCCTCAGAGCTCAGTCCTAGGAATGCTTGTCTTCTCCATTTATATGCTCCGTAAATGACCTCATTCAGTCCCCTGGATTTAATTTAAGTGCCATCTATATGTGTGCTGATTACCAGATTTACATTCTTTCTTGATCTTTGCACTCCAAGATCTAACAGTGCATTTGACATCTTCACTAGAATGCTTTAATTGGCAACATAATCCTAACACATACAAAACAACTTTTTAAAAAGATTTTTTTTTTTTTTAGAAAGAGAGGAAAGGAAAGGGAGAGAGAGAGGAACATTGATCATCTGTCTTCTGCACACCCCCGACTGGGGATCAGGCCCGAAACCTGGGCATGTGCCCTGAGAGGGGAATCGAACCAGTGCCCTTTTGCTGCATGGGAGGACACTCAACCAACTGAGCCACACCCTGCCAGGGCAGTAACTCCATTTTACCCTATAAGTCAAGCCCACGCTTAAACCCTCCAATGGCTTCCCTCTTGGAATAAAATTCAAACTTCTTTCCCCGGCCTACATGACTTAACATTTTAAGGCCCCTGCCTTTCTCTTTGACCTTGTCTCTTGGTACTTTCTCCCTCATTCATGTAGGCTTGGCCTTCTTTCTGTTTAACAGGTTAAGGTTTACCTTCTGTCCTGTAGACAGGATCAGACATTTTTCCACAACACAGTACCTTGCAAAATAGCAAAACACATAAGGAAGGTTTTTTTACAGGTGGCGGTTTATTGTTTTCAAGCTTTGTCACTGAATTTATTTGAAAAGGAACCCTACATTCTTTTCCTTGACCAGTTAGTTATTTTCTTGGTTACCATTACCAGATTATTTCTGATGCTTAGCCAAGGAGCATGAAATCATCTTCAGGAAACACTCATTGCTTCTTTTTTTTTGGCTATATTTCAGTAAAGATTATGTGAATTTTAAGACAGTATTATTATATATGGGAGGTTCCAGGAAGAGCATTATGAACAAAATTAAACTTTAGCTAATTTTTATATATCATTTATCATAAAAGAAAGATCCTTACATTTTTTATTTTAAAGGAGACTTGGATCTTATCTAGTTCAGCTGTCATAATTTATAGATGAGGAAATTGAAGCATAAAGAGAAAATATTATATGCTATGGAATAGCCTTTCATTCTTTGAAATATTTACATTATATCAAATCATTAGCCAAAGAATTATCATTCCATTTAACAGCTTAGAAAGGAAAACTCAGAGAAGTTATTTGCTGAAGGTCATGTGGCTGATAAGAGGTTGAGCTGGGAATGGAACTCAGATTTGACATGAAATACCATACCATCTTTCTTATGCTGTGTTGCTTCCCAGAGAGGAATTGTAAGCTGTTACAAAAGCAAATTCAATTTTTAATTTCTACTGTATATGTATTTTAAAGGTTATGATCTTTATTTTTATTATAAAAATCAATCTTCAAGTTTCTACATGAAATGTTTGAAAATTGCTGGAGTTCTTGAAATATTTTACAATATGTATGTCATATATTTTACAATGTATTAATTTTATAATCAGAAAAAAATCAAGATAATAAAAATAAAAGTGATACATGTATACCAGAGACAATTTGACAATTAGGAAAAAAACACTGAAGGGATTGTTGCCCCTCACAACTATTGTTAGCATTCTGGTGTGTTTCTGTCTGGCCTGTCTTTAATTTATTAATTTTCTCCCTCTATAGCTGTGTTCCAGGTACATGCTAGTTTTTTAAAATTCATCTTTATTGTTGAAGGTATTACAGATGTCTTCTTTTCCCCCACATTGATCCCTTCCACCCAACCCCCCAGGCCTTCCCCATACTATTGTCTGTGTCTGTGGGTTATGCATATATGCATATAAGTTCTTTGGCACATGCTATTTTTAAAGCAATGTTGAGTGATGCATTTTTAAGAACTAATGCGTTTAGTTATTATACTTGTTTTTGTCTTGACTTTTGAGATAACATATTTACCACATAGGGTTATTTTTTTCTTATAGACTTCTCATTGCAGGGTATGTCTTAAAACAAATAGAAATAAGAAATCTTACTGGAAAACATTTAAATATTGTAACATAAATGGTTTAAAAGAGTGAAATTATATTGTGATAGGAACAAAGACAAAGGTTTGGGGGTCTTATCTAGAATAGTAAAAGGCCCCCAAATAAAAAGCATATAGGTCCAGTAGCAGTATAGGAGCAGAGTTTTAAAAGTATATGTATTTATCATTTTTTAACAAGAGTAGCAACATGACCTTTTCTTGCCACTTTGCAAATGGCATGTTATTTGAATGCATCTTGCCCCAAATGTCCATATTCTGTTACAGAACTGTCAACTTTTTTGAGGTATTTTTATACTAAAGTTTAATACTTAATCAGAACTTTTTTCTTTAAAAATTATTTCCATTGGACATTTTAAATAGGGGGAGAGCAGGTAGACAAATTTTTTATACAATGCAGGTTTTGACTTTTCCAACCTAAGTGTCCATTGATAGATAAATAGTATAGAAAGAAAATGTGGTGTATATATATATATATATACAATGGAATATTACCCAGCCATAAAAAGAATGAAATCTTGCCATTTACAACAACATGGATGAACCTACAGGGTATTATGCTAAATGAAATAAGTCAGATAGAGAAAGACAAATACTCTATGATTTTATGTATATGTGGACTCTAAAAAACAAAACACATGAACAAACAAAACAAAACAGAAACAGAAAACAGGAGACAAACAGGAAACAAACTGGTGGTTATTAGAAATGGGATTGCTTAGAGGGTACGTGAAATAGGTGAAGGAGATTAATAAGTATAGACTTCCAATTATAAAATAAGTAAGTCTCGGGGACATAATGTACAGCATAGGGGATATAGTTAATAATATTATAATAACTTTGTATAGTGATAGATGGCCACTAGACTTATTGTGGGGATCATAACTATCAAATAACTATGATGTACACCGGAAACTAATAGGATATTGTATGTCAATTATATGTCAATAAAAAAGAATTGAGATTTGACATGTATGTTAGTAACATTTTCATTCTTTTACTTTTTCAAATCTTGCTCCAGTTGTCAGAGTATTTTATTTCACAACCTCATTCTCTCTCCCCTTTTTAGTAACTATTTTACTAGTAAGGAAAATAAATAAAATAAACTGGTTATGAATTTAGCTTACCATTTAAAATTTCATTATATTCCTAGATATCTATGTCGAGGTTGCTCACTTATTTCTGTAATAGTTCTGAGTGTTCCTTTGAATCTTTGTGGCCCCTAAAGAAGGAATGTAAATGACAGGGTACTTTTTCATTTCCTATTTTCAGACATTATGCTGCTTCAGTGCCTGTAGAATATCCTTACTACTAGGGTACCAAAGAGTATTATTAAAAAACACATAACTTTGTTTGTCTCCTTTCTTTTTTTTTTTATTAATTGTTTTCACTTTTATTTTGAATTTTTAAATATAAAAATGTATGGAGAACAATATAACAAATACCCATGTACCCACACCTAGAATTAATAAATATTAACATTTTTATATTTTGCTTAATAGTTATACATATGTGTATATAGTTATATATTTGAAATAGAGAATTTCAGATAAAGTTGGAGTCCTCTCTGTTTTTTCCCCTGGTCTCATTTTTCTCCCTCCACAGAGATAAGCAGAGCATAAAATTTGCCTGTACCCTCTCAATCAACATTTAATTTTTACTACATCTATCTATCTATCTATCTATCTATCTATCTATCTATCTATCTATCTATCTAATCTGCTTGGTGTATTTTGTATCTATTTTTTTAGTATTGTTTAGTGTGGTTCTTAAACTTTTACAAAATAGCCCTGGCCAGGTGGCTCATTTGATTGGAGTGTGGTCCTGTACACCAAAAGGTTGTGGGTTCGATTCCTGGTCAGGGCACATACTTATGTTTCGGATTCAGTCCCTGGTTGGAGTACATATGGGAAGCAACCAACTGATGTTTCTCTCTCCCCCCACCTTCCTATCTCTCTAAAATCAATAAAAACATATCCTCGGGTGAGGATTAAAATTTTTTTACATAGTAAGTAAATACTCTCCTTCCGTATGTATCATTCTCCAATTTTGCTTTTTTAAACCAATGTTGTTTTTAAGATTTATGTATGTTCATAACATATAGGTCTAGTTTGCTTATTTAACTCAGCATCCCAGTGATTAAAATAGTACAATTTATCTATTTTCTTTCAATGATTTTTAGATTGTTTTTATTTTTTCTTTGCAAATAACTATTTGCATGCTGCTTTCAGTATGTAGTCAATCAACAAGGGCTTATTGCAACTCTAGTCACCTTTCCCTGAAGAGTCTGCAATCTAGTAGGGGACATCAAACTTAAAAACTTGGCCAATGTAGAGGTAAGATGGGGTAGGAACTGAACTCTGTCCAATCTCTATTGGATAACTTTTTCTGGTTGACTCTTTTTTTTTTTTTTTGGTTAATCCTCACTCAAGGATATTTTTCCCATTGATTTTTAGAGAATGTGAAAGGGAGGGGGAGAGAGAGAGAGAAACATCAATGTGAGAGAGACACATTGATTGGTTGCCTCCCACACATGCCCAACCGTGGCTGGGGGTCAAACCTGCAACCCAGGTACGTGCCCTTGACCAGAAATCAAACCCACGACCCTTCAGTCTGCAGGCTGATGCTCTAACCACTGTGCAACACTGGCCAGGATTCTTAAGGTTTTTTGGTTGCAGGTATGATTTATGTAAAGTTACTGTGCTTTCAGAGTAAATCTTTAACTTCTTAAAATAATTTGCTTCTTTTAGGTGCTTGTTTAAACTGCCAGAGAAATAGCAAAGGGAATCACTGTGAAGAATGCAAAGAAGGATTTTACCAGAGTCCTGATGCCACTAAAGAATGTCTTCGCTGCCCTTGTTCAGAAGTGACATCTACAGGCAGTTGTATCTTAAGTAAGGCCTTTCTCTAAATCTTTATGTTTAGAGGAAAAATGAATGAATCAGTTATCAATAGGTATAAAATGTGTTGCTAAATAAAGCTCTGGGTGCTGTCGGTGAAAGGGAGTTATAAAAACAGCAAAACTTTCTAGGAATTTATAGTCAAATCCAAATACTTATGTGAAATGAGACTTGAGGGAGGGATGAGGAAGTTTTGGTTAAAACCATATTTTATTTCATCTGTCATCACTAAAGAGGAAGGGATAAAAAAATTAAGTGCCTATCCATCATAATTATTCAGTTTTCTTATGTAATCATATTTCTTTTGTTTCTACCTGAATAGGTTCTCTGATGGCCCCATCATTCTCACAAAAAATTGGACAGTTAATAAATAAGGTGTCGATTTTTAGTTTGATTCCATATGTCTTTTAGTTTGCGAAGAGGTAGTAGGGAAAGCTTATGACCCTTTTTGAAAACTAGTAGTTGTTTTGCATTTTCAACTGTAGCTTGAGACTGGACTAAATCATTTTGGTGTTTTATTCTCTGTTTTAGAATTGGGTGAATTGGAACCTAAATGTGTCCAGTGTAAAGATGGTTACACAGGCCAGAACTGCAATAAATGTGAAAGTGGCTATTACAATTATGACAGCATCTGTATGAAGTGCCAGTGTCATGGCCATGTGGACCCAGTTAAAACTCCCAATATTTGCAAGCCTGAGAGTGGTGAGTGCATCAACTGCCTCCACAACACCACTGGGTTTTGGTGTGAGAACTGCCTAGAAGGTTATGTTCGAGACCTCGAAGAAAATTGCATCAAGAAAGGTAAACTTCACCTAAGGTTGTAAATTTAATATCTAAGCCTAGCATTGGAAATTTCAGGACAGCTACCGTTAGGTTTGTAAAACCTTCCAATCCCACAAGAGGAGTTTTCTGGAATAGATTTTGATAGATATTTGCCTAAAGGGATTTCCTTCCATTCCTGCTGCTCTCCTGATACTCCAAAGTCAACTCCAGAAATTTGAGGACCAAGACCAAGTCATTGCAGTGTTTTCACATTTTCTCTTCATCTACTTTTATTTTTATGTTAATAATTTAAAAGTCCTATCATCTTTTTTTTGTCCTTTGCTTCCTGTCTTCTCATCACCTCCAGTGATCACCAAAGGTCTTTTTAAATAGGGACCTATAATCTGGTTAGAAGTTCTAGTTGAGAAAAAAAGAGTTAATTCTAGCATCTGTCCTAACTTTGGGCCTAAGTTTTCTCATTTGTGATGGAGGAAATAGTAATAATATTCCTTTTGATTTTTAAAAGAAAAAGTTATTCATATGGCAAAATGTTTCTTATATAGGGAGGTTCAGTAAGGGTTTAGATACAAATTAATGATTAGAAATTCAGGATGAGTTAAGAGTATTTAGGCTTTATTAGGTCACAGAGAGATTTGACCATGTTCTTCTACAAACTACCCTTTGATATTCTGACAGATGCTGAATACTGGACTGATGGATACTTGGCTTGTGGCAAGGGTTGTCCTTTTGCCATTTTCTAGATGTCTGTATTCTGTTGTGATCAAGGCTAAGAAACTCAGAGAACGTTATCACTAGCCTGGAGATCCTGTCACTCAGTTCTCTTTCGCATTTGGAGGCATACCTTGTCTTTACTTAGCTGTCAGGACTGTGATGATTTTTCTTATTAGTTATTAACTAATGTAAAACATTCCTCTTTTTAGGATAAATTGATGTGGCTGATTGTGGTGATGAATTATAAAGATAAAATAAATCATTTTGTTGAATGACTACTATGTGCCAAGCACTGTAAACGTTAAATATAACAATGTTATTTAATGTTATCTCATTTAATCCTTCCCAAGAACTTTGCAGAGTAGATACTGTTATTCCCATTTATAGATGAGGAACCTCAGTTTTAAAAAGATTAACTGACTTACCTATAACCACACAGTTTTACTTAATTCCAGAGCCTTTGGTATTTCCACTGAGCTATGTTGCTTTGGAAGTACAAAGTGTAGTACATTAATTGTAAAACAGCTATAATCTACACAAAGGAAGAATTACTACACATGAAATTATAGGAAATCTCTTTTCTCTCTTGACTGACATCAACTTTGGACATTTACCATCAGACATGCTGAACTTATTTTAGTTCAAATGATTGTCGTCTATCCCTGTCACTTTTAATGAAGTGATTTAGAACTCAGTAGTGACATGTTTACTGCCTTTGCAGGAATTTGTATGAATCTATCTAAGAGTGAAGAAGGATGGGAAATTCAAACATTAGAATTTTTCCAAATATTTTAATATAGATATTATACATTTTGAATAATAGCCATGGATATAAAAATCAAGCTTTCTAGACCCTGATTCTTTTCACTATATTTCTCTAAAAGTTATTTTTAACTTGCATGACCTTAAAGCAGAATATCATGTCAACATGCCATATCAACTTCCACTCCCATGTATTTCTTTTATTGTTTCTTAAAACTAGATAATTTTGTCTTTTACATTTCATTCTCTGTTTTTATTTTCAGAAGTTATTGTTCCAACACCTGAAGGTTCTACCATTTTGGTTTCCAATGCCTCTTTGACCACATCAGTGCCCACCCCTGTTATAAATAGTACACTTACCCCCACAACCCTGCAAACTATCTTTTCAGTAAGCTCTGCTGAAAACAGCACGTCAGCTTTAGCTGATGTATCATGGACCCAATTTAACATCATCATTTTGACTGTCATCATCATTGTGGTGGTGCTGCTGATGGGATTTGTGGGGGCTGTATATATGTACCGGGAGTACCAAAACCGGAAACTCAATGCCCCCTTTTGGACCATCGAGCTGAAAGAAGACAATATCAGTTTCAGCAGCTATCATGACAGCATTCCCAATGCAGATGTGTCAGGACTGTTGGAAGATGATGGCAATGAAGTGGCTCCCAATGGGCAACTGACCCTGACGACACCCATGCATAACTACAAAGCCTAAGGAGCTAGACCGGTTCTCCTGGATTGTTAGACCCAGTGCTTACTAAGACAGCATCAGTCCCTGGGCCAGAGAGCCTGGATAGAGCTTGCTGAGAAAGCAAAGGCATATAGTGCATTGAAGTTTTCAGGTACAAATTCATAATGCACTTAGCCTATTACTTTTAGTTTCCCATGAAGACCTGAAGCAGTCACTGTCAATAAGGACTTAAAGTAAAGTATATTTTTGTATGAACCACATGGGAGTATAGAAAGGCTGAACCTATAGTGCAGCCTTAATTGCTTTGACCTCCAAATAGACTCCTGGGGAGTATTCACTCAACCAGCGGAAACAGGATGATGGATGTGGAAGAAGAGAGGACTGCAGAAGACTTCATCTCCATTCCTGAAACATTTTTTTAAAAAGGAGGATCAGGGACAGTATTCATTTTACTGCACTAAAAGACATAATTGAGGAAAAGTTGATGTCTGGGCTGTATCACAATAAACAATCTAGGTTGTTTCTAGAATAGGAGCAGAACAGTCCCAAGAAGGTCTTTAGAAGGGTTTCATTTTTCCTTCCAGAATTCTTGCTCAATAATAGGATTAAAGCACAGTATAAGCTGCTAATGATACAAAGAGGAAGGCAACATCTGGGAGCAGGAAGCTGATAGTCCTCCTTAGGATCTCAGTGTAAATGATAAATTGTCTAAAAATAAGGAATATTCCTGCCTCTAGAGAAATAAGTTGTACATAGTTAATGTAGCATATCTGGTCAACATTGTATTTGTATCTATTTGTAAAAAAAAATCATGTCATATTTTATCATCTAGAATGTATTTGTACAGCAGTTAATGGTGTTGTAAAAAGAAAATATGGGAATTGGTTAAAATAATGTAAAATAGATGGCAATATTGCTAGAGCTGGGACTCTGGTGAACATCAGTCATTTTTAGTCCCCCTTTGGACACTGTTGAAATTTATAAGAGGTTGAATGTTTCTAATTTTTCTTTCCCTTTCTCATTTTAAATGTAGAGTTATGTGCTCTTTGACTTATAGATTCAAGCAATAGATTTTGAAGTCGGTGATTGTTAACCTGGGACACAGGCTGTACTCTCCAAGCTACTCACGTAATTAGACATTAGCCACTCTCTATATTTTATATAGATTAATATAGAACATATCCTCATTAAAAATGTTTTTAATGTACAAGATAGTCTTCCAAAGGAATTAGAAATATTTTAGCTCCAAAAGAAAAGCCATCATGTCACTTGGCATCCCATTTTCATGCCTGTGAAATATCGATTCTCCCCCCCCCCCAATATTTCCTGTGTTTGAACATAGTCTATCACTTACATGCCATGAGGTATGTACCATCTCTCTGCAGGGCTGAAGTTCTCCTATCTTCTTGTCCAAGTAAGGGTAGCACTGTAGTTGAGTGGATATGGCTAGACCTTGTTTTAGGTGCAGTGTTTTCCTAGAGGCCATCCACTGTTGCTCTCATCTATTATGATATCAACAGATTGTGGATTAAACAAGTCAGAAAAAGCAGCCAGAAGACAACTATAGATATTTACTAGGCAGAACAGAAAACTATCCAAGTGGTTAAAAAAGTAAAGACTTACTAGACCTAGGAAATCTAAGTTGACCACTTTGCCAGCTTCCCCAGAGAAAACCCTGGAATTTGGCCATCCCTCTGTAGGAGACCACTAGGCTGTTCTCAGGGTATGGAGATGACGCTCTAGAGGATATACAGGCAGATAGTCTATGCCTGGTGCCCGGAGGTGGTCCGGATATTTGGCCATTGCTCATGAGAGTAGAAATGACATTATGTTACATTATATTAAAATAAGTTAATATTTCTATAGCTCTTTGCCATTTGCAAAGCATCTTTCCATATGTGTTTCTTTTGTTCCTCATGATAGCCCCTGAGGAAGTAATTGCTGTCCCCATTTTATAGATGAGGTTAAATGTCTTGTTCAAGGCTACACAATATGTCATTATTACACTTGGAATTGGGACTCCTAACTGAAGCACAAATTTTTTCAACTGTGTGCTAATGCAGAAATTGCCTAACCACAGACACAAGAAGGCTGGGAAGAAGAGTCCCATCTGTGAATGTTTCTAATTTTTTAACTGCAAGGTGCCTTCCAGGGCCGTACGGCTATGAAGGACTTTGTAGAAAGAACACAGGAAGATTACTAGCCAGTATTAGTGATAAGAAAATAAAAATACCAGTTTGTGCTTCATTAAAGTGAACTAATCCTTCTAAACAGGGAGAGAAAACCTGCTTTTTCCAAGAGCTGCCACATATGTATAGATTGTGCACTGCACATTTTAAGGAATTGTACAAAATGGCATACCTGCCTTTCTCCAGATTACCACCCCTCAAAGCCTGGGATTAATGATGGCAAGAAATAAACATTTGACAAACAGAAGTTGACCCAATAGAAAAAAGAGTATTTATTGGGGTCCAAGAGTCAAAGCCAAGTAGTCCAGATTCTGGCCATGTAGTGATTCCTTGAAAGAGACCTTAGAAAGTTTTGCAAAAATTGAAGCACAAGAATACTTATGAACAGTCCTAGATCATGTTTTTAATTTTTCCCAATGGAAAAAAATTAAGGACTTAAAACTTTTAAAATATTTCTTGTCCCCTCTTTTTTTCTGGTGGAAATAATTTTGCTCTAAAATTTAAATCAATTCTGAAGTGATTTACCACCAAAATCAGACTAGAAAGCTAGCATTTTACACAATATTTATTCCTTTAAAGGCATGATCCCATGAACTAGGGCATTCTGCACGAGGATCCCATCAATCCTTTAGAAAGACTAGTATCAGAAGAGTTTTTGTCTAAAGATTAGAAATGTGCTTATTTTCAAATGAGACTAGTGTGAATCTTATTGATAAATGACAGATACTGCCACTAAGTAATACTTTTATCTTCATTAGTTCACTTTAGCAAGCACTTAAGCATTTCTGACAGATGCCCTAGGTGGTGGGCTAAGTACGCGTCTGTTGTCCCTTATTTCCCCTCCCTCCCTTCCTGTATCCTCTAGCTCCCAGAGGTCTTTTATTAATGGGGTTTCTCCAGTTATAGAAAATAATGGTAATAAATACTAAACCTCATTTCTGCTAAGGTCCTGTGGACTTAATGCGCTACTCTTAGGGATACCAGAATAAGAGGGGATAAAAGAGTAGGCAAGAGGAGAGAAATTTTCTTAAGACGGGGTTTATACAAGCATCAAATTATATAGCTACTTTCTACCCAATATTCCCAGGAAAATTGATCGTTAAAGCACCATTCACTGACCCCTGAGTTCATTTTGGTCAGCTGAGTTGGTCACTTTGGAGGCAGAAAACTAAACAACAGTACTTCCTCCTGACAGCCTCAGTTGGGATTGGGTGGTTAGATTATTTACCTTAGTTCTACATTTTTTTGTAGGACACATGGTGAACATAATGTGTCCTACATTACAAGTGTGTAATGAACATTCCCTGGTTCATACATTTTGAAGTATATGGATAGGAGTTGAATTTACAAATCTCAAAGAAAGCTCTCTGACAAAAGTTCAGAGAAGTAAAAAGCAACCAAATGTAACTTGTTAGGAGTGAGGAAAGCGTTTCTGGCCTCATCCATGAAGAACCTTTGGTCTGTTAGGATTTTGTTAATAGTAAGGAGTTTGGGAGCTAAGATGAGTTTGGTGTGTGCAGGGGAGTAATAATGGACGATTAATGCAAGTTTTCTCTTTAACCCTGAGCCAATGACTGACTGTGCCAAGGGGAAAAGCAGGAGGAACACGCTGATTCATCTCAAGAAGTCAAATAATATCAAATGGGTTACAGGCTATGGATCATTAAAATGTCAGCAGCTGAATAATGCTCTCAGAGGCAGCTGGAAATCTGGCTTACGCGCCGTAACTGCAACAGCAGCCCTGGAATGTGAGCCCAGGGCTCCAGATTTAAGTTAATGCAAAAGCTAAACGATTTAAAGTTAAATTTTAATGCAAGGCACAAGCACTCTGTAATACATTAAACTTCAGCCCAAGCAATTAGGGAATATTTCTGAAACATTAAACTTGTATTTATGTCACTAAAATTCTAACATAAATTTTAAAAATGTGTTCTCATACATATGCTGTACTAGGCTTCATGATGCATTTCTAAATTTGTGTATGATTTGAATATATAAAAGAATTTATACAAGAGTGTTATTTAAAATTATTAAAAATAAATGTATATAATTTGTACCTATTGTAGATTTGTTGTTTTACTTTTCTATGTGGTCGGAGTGGTTGGAAGTCTTTTGATAGATGTCACAGGTCATTAATTTTCAAACCACGCCGTGAAAATCTTGAACCCTTTCCTTGTTGACTATGCTTTTTGTATTAAGAATTTCCTTTAAAGAATGTTTTCCACATGGGAAAAAAAATGCCACATGAAGATTCCCCTTCTTAAAACAAAACACCACACTGAGGGGAAAAAACCCACATATATTAACATAGGCTCTTGTTTGTACTTCTGCTTGTCTCCTCAGACCCATTGGGATTTCCATGGAAATGTTATAGGAAAAAACTTGCTCCTTTTTGGATACTGTAAAAAAGTGTCCTTTCGTTAGTATAAATTTGAAGGGCCACACCCATGTTCTGTGTGTTTATTAGCTAGCCGGTAATGAGAGTACATCTTTTTATTATTTTGAGGTACCCTCAAAGATCCTCTATTTTGACAAAATTCAGTGTTTAATGTGATGCCATTTAGAGATCCAAGGGGTACTTGGAAAAGGTAGAAAAACTAAGGCCTTTCTCTGTTTTGACAGCTTTACAAACTTCAAATGGTTTCTTCAACATCAGTTGTTGATATTTAAACTTTATAACCCTGACTTTTCTAGTCACATAAGGAACTAGTTTTAATAATTTTTAATCCCACCTTATAATTTATGCATAGGGTTCTGTACATGTAGATCTATGATGTACGTGAATTGAGTATTATTTTAAGAAAACAGGATAAGCATGGTAGAAATCTAAGCAAATTAAAATTTCAAGAGAAAGGAGATTAACAAATTTACCATAGCAAGAGGAAAAAACTTTACTTTTATAGTATCATAGTCATACTTTTGATGAAAGTCTATCAAGTAAAGACATTTACTAGATTGCATTATCAAAATTGGTTGTATTCATTTTCCATAGGTGTATATGATAAATGTGTTTTAAAAAATTACACATGCTTCATTATAATTAAATCAGTAACTTCAAAGCAACAATTATGTTTAGTTACGCTTAAAAAGTTAAGCTAAATTCAAAACAGTGTTTTTCATGAGGTGATAGCATTAGAAGTGTTCATTGACAGGCTACATTCTCAGTGAATGTTGAAGATCATAATTTTACCTACGTTAGTTTTCAAGACAAATTTATGAAGAAATTATTGTCGTATTTATTGTACAGGCTTCCCAATACTTCTGCTTACCAAATGAAGGCCATCAGACAATGTTAAATTTAAAATGTGTTGCCAGTTTGTATTAATAGGTAGGCTTTAAACTTGTATACTGAACACCCAACTTCAAATAACTGCGGGAGAAAACCAGGCAGAACGTTTTCTTTGTATGTAGTAAGAGTAGATTTGAGTAATAAAGGAAGTATTTGGGAGGAAATCTTCTTTTGTGGTTTCCTTTGTGTTGTCAGACCAACTGCTGAAGTCTCATATATCAGTGTTGTTTTCCTTAGTCTCTGGCCAAATAAGGAAGAGCCTTCGCCAACCACGTTAAACTCATGTATAATTTCCTGTACATGCCGGGTTATATGTCGTCTCTCCCTTTGCTGCTCCTCCCCCTCCCCCTCCCCCATTAATCCTTACCCAAGGATATTTTCTCCATTGACTTTTTTTAGTGAGAGTGGAAGGGAGGG